ATCATTTCGAAAAATGATTTGTTAATTGTGAACACGTGTCACGTGAGCCATTTTCAAGTCAATGAACTACGTTCCTGTTCTGATCTTTCATATATCTTTACAAAAATGTCTATGTATTCGTTACGTGTTGCAAAGTCGTGCGACGTTATTTTGGAAAATTTCACATAAAAATTTCCCATTTTTTTAGTTTTTATTTTTTTTATTTTCACTGTAAATATGTTATTGCAAGCGTACTTTTATAAATGGAAATAGATTTGAGATAATATACAGATTGATTTAAAAAAGAAAACATTAAATTAGTGTCACTTTTTGGACACAGAAGTGTACAAATTTTTTAACTTATTATGGGATATTCTGGCCTTATGATCGGTCAGCAGCACGAAGCGCACGCTTGTTGTATAGGTGTTTCGATTTTGTATCAATTTTGATGTTCCGGAAGAACATCTATCGCAAGAAAATGCTTCGATGTCGATCTTATTATAAAAGCAGGGTTGTTACTTAAGTACCCATAAAAAATATCTTGTAAGATGTGTTGTCTCTTTGATAAGTCTCAGAATACGGCTATTAATGTGTCATATTGTTTCAAGCGAATATAAGTTAGCATGCTATATAAATACTGGAACAGTTCGAAGAAGAAGATTCGACGATAACAGACTGACTGACAACAACAGACTCAATAATAGAATATCGAAATCTCATGCTAATCAAGCATATCTTTTATAAGATCCCAAATTTCATACATATTCTGACCTGTTACTTATTTCAATGTAGAAGAATGGGCGGGCAACGCTTGACTTTCTGGACATAAGGGATACAAAATGATGTTCTTTGGACAAAACATATAATTGGAAAATTGAAAGACGCACTCAAGAGCTTAGATGTATTAAAGCGGCGCAAATTATGTCACCTGCAGTCGATATCCCTCTGCCATTTACGCCGCCAATATTCAAGCAAAGTTAAAGAAGAAGAAGAATGTGTGTGAAAATTATGCCAGTTTTTTAATAAGACATGATCTGGTCGCTTGCTGTGCCGTAAATTTTCAATTTTACAAGACCCATATTTCATTATACCGATAAGATTGTCTGTCCATCAGTCTCTCTTGCTTTCTTATGTTTAACCTACAGGCCACAGCTTTTGCAATATTTTGACCACTTGTGGTATGAAGTTTGCGCGGATGCATACAACACCCAGAAAATGGTTCGGATCGGACCACCCGATCGAGCACTTTTCATGTAATGCTTTATTTTCAAATGAATCGTTTTATGATTAACTACAGGACGATGTAGGGTATTCAATGGTGAGCCGTGGCCCACTATAGTGTTTTTACTTGGGCTTCTAAACAAATTTTGATTTCTTGAAAATAGCTTTCGGTACTCATTAGAAAGCAGTTAAACTTTCAAACATTTGGAAAAAAAAAAAAGAAATTGAATTTTGCGAACAGTATGCACACAATATAGACTATACATGCATAACGATTTTCAGAAAAACAAAATTTTTAATAATTTAAAATTTTTCCCGTTCGACACTCATCCTTTTACATACATGTGTATGCATATAAGGTGACATACTCAAGTCAACAAAAAAAAAAAAAAAAAAAAAAAAGACGCGAAAAATAAACCCCACTCGGTGATATTACCCGTTTTAATAAGGAAAATACAATATACCATTTATCTCTATTTCAAAGTTAAATCACATCATATATCAAAACGTCTATTAAGTGTATTGTCAAATTAAAGATAATCAATAGATTATTTGAGCATACGAGTTCAAGATATCACAAAAAAAAAAAAAAAAAAAAAAAAAAAAAAAACAGTTCTTAGATTTCCATTTCATTCTCCATACGAATTTGATTTGCATGCATGCATATGGTGACGTTTTATTAGCTCTAAATAGGATGAGCAATAATGTTTATAAAACCGTTCCAGCGAGGAAGATCGCGATCTAAATGAAAAAATGGTGAATCATAAGAGAGATCTTTGTATATATAATTGTTTTTTTTTTTTTTAACAATCAAAATCCAGTTTATTGATTGCTAAGTGAGGATAATAATGGAAAATTTTAATCGCGTTATGCTGACTAATGTTCGATTATTGATTTTTATTTCGCGCCCAAAACAAATGATACCAGAAAACAAGTTATAGGCTGCATAAGTTTAGGACTGCATTTTCAAAATACCCAACAGTAGATAGTTTTTGCACGATATATGTTTGCAACAGATACAGTTCAATCGTCAACTTTACGAAACATATTGACTACATTCATTCCATTGGCCATTGTACCAAAAGTGCTATACGTATCTACATATAATTATTTCGTAGTTATAGGGGAATCCCTGGAATAATTTTAATTCCTATTCAAAATATATCTATTTATGGAACTTCCTGTGTGAAAGCTAACAAAAAACTTATTCTAGAAAAGGTTTCGTGTTTACCATCATAAGTTGAATAAATGGACAGAGAGAAAGACAGACATGCCTAAACTATATGCTTTATGATCTATGATCTATGCTATTAGATCTTTATGTATTCGTATTTTTTTTTGAATTATCATTTTTTTGTTAATGTGACTAACAACCGAGAGCATGTCCCTGTTGTTCCACCTTCCATCTTCCACCCTGTTATGTAACATTTTTAAATGCTCACAAAGTAATTTTCTTATTCTATTTACAACATTTAGAAAGATGCAAAAAAGCCTCTTTAAATAATTTATTTAAACATATCGACTTATTCGGAATTCAGAAATGTTATCTTAAACCGATTGAACTTGGCCAAAATTACTTTAATCCGTCCGATTGCACTTAAAAATTCATTAAAGATATTCAAAAGAAAAGAAGTAAGTAGAGTCGTGACCGATTCTTTTGTACCGATTACCGTTCTCCTAAAAATTATTAAAAAAAAAAAAAAAGTACCTAATTTTTACAGTCTACAGTAATGAGTGGGCGCGGCTGATTTTTTTTTATTTTCAGAATATAAATAGTATATGTGTTGTATTTTATAAGTAAGAAGCAAACAACAGGGAAAGGAAACCTGTTCACAATTTTTGTTGTATACGTATATGTGAGTTGTAGGCGTGTTCTTTAAAGGGTTTGGCCCATTTTTAAAAAGTTTTGCAAGTTTGTAGGCGATATTTTCATTTTTGCGAATGGGAAAATGTTAAGCAGACCGAGCGATGAATCGACGGACATGTTTGTGTGCACGCCGAATTTGGAACTGGCCAAGAATTCATATACTTAATCGAGTGTTTGAAGCCTACTTCTGCGCTTTATAAATGTATTGAAAAAAAAAAAACAGTTAAAATTTCAAACAATATATTTAGATAGGAGTGGTCAATATTTCCTATTTCTGTGCAGGCCCGTAAAACACACGTTCCAATTTTAATCGATTTATTTGTCGTAGTTTATATAATAAGTAATGAACAATAAACCTTTCGAAAAACAAATGTATTCTTAGTTTACGCGTTCCGGTAGGCATATCCTTCAACCGATTTAGGCCATTTGCTTTTATTAACTTGCGTGCGAGAATTTCTAATTACCGATGGCTGCATTTTATCACAGACTTGAGACAAGCAAAGAGACGAATGGGTAGGCGGACATGCTTAAATCGGTTTAGTATTTGAGCCTGATCAAATTTATATATATATATATATGTCTTATGGGGTCTCTGAAGCTTTCTTCAAGATGTTGCAAAACCCTTTAATCAAATGAATATGAAAAAAAAAAAAAAAAATAGGCTTTAAAATTTTTCATTCCATTAGAGAGAAAACGTTGCGATTTCTTTACATTTACTTCAGGTGAGGAATTAAGGAAAATTTTTGTGTTAAGACGGATGATTACTTGCTACTTAACATATCCACCCTGAAATTGAAATTTTTAAGGTTATGTTCAAAAATTTTCTGTAGTTTTCTGTAGATTTCCCAATATGTCAAAATTATCACGATATTCATCATGAAGCTATTCACGCTGCAAAAACAATAATATTATATATAACTATGTATGCGAGAGTATTCACGATGACCCGATCGGGCACATTTCTCAGCAACTACGTACGACCGGGAACCAATTTGTTGAACATTTTTAATATTTTCATGACAAAATAAAAGAATGACATTCGTCGGGCATATGCTAGATGCCGCATATACGATGAAACGCAGGCCAAGCGAAGGTGTACATAACTCTGCGCTCTTAATGAAACTCGCTCTATACTTATTCAAGTCGTTAAAAAAGTTGAAAAACGGAAGTACAAAAGCAATGTGAGCGGTATTTAAGGTCATCAAAATTGAGAAAATTGATTTCTAAAGACATAATATATTTGCAAATGATTTGAATTCATTTAAAAATAATGGTAGGTAACCAGAAAAAGTTTAAATTAAATTAAAAAAAAAAAAAAAAAAAAAAAAAAAACCGATAATTTTAACAGTCGTTTTGCGCCAGCAAATCAATGATAAAAAAAACAAAATAAAGCAAAATACATTTTTTAATTAACAAGCCTTGCAAATGCATTCGTAATTCAATGTTTGCTTTATAATAAAATAGTAACTATTTTTTGCCTGGCACTCTATATTATTATATACTTATTGTATCTGGTTTTAAATAATTTTTTTTTTTTTTTTTTTAATTATTAAATAATTGTTTAAATGAATAAATAAATTCATTTCAATAATTAAGGCAGATTATTGAGTTGAGTATTCATATATTTTATAAATTAACAACTGTTTTCTTTTTTTAAATGAACAAAAGTTATTTAAATTTTAATAACTTAGAACTGTATATATATATGATAAAAAAACGAAAATTAATAAATAACTAAATGAAAAAAAAAAAAAACAGTCGCTAAACCGTTTAAACATTTGAAAAATCATTTAACTTTTCATTAAAATTGAAACTCTCGCATGCAAAACATTTTTCTACTATTTTTTTTTTTTTTTCTTTTAATAACAAAAATTTTTTTTTCTTTTTTTTGTTATAATTATTATTCCAATCAAAGAAATTTCATTGCATTTACCTGCAACTGCTTCCAAGCATTTAATGAAAACTTCCATATTTCGCTCACAAGTGGCCTCATTCAAGTAGAAATATGTACGGGCGCTATTGACTTTATAACGACGATCGGCAAAGGTTTTATCGACTTGATATTGAGGCAACGCATCTTCTTTATTTACAAAACTCGAAGTTGAAGTCGAAGCTCTGTAAGAAAGCGGGAGGCGGAGGGTGGGCAAAAAGAAAACAAAGCAAATTTAGAAATTTTTAAAACTAACAAACTGTGATATTTTTGGAAAATTATTTTAAAAAAATTACTTACTCAACTTCGCGCTTCTCGGCTTCCTCTTGAGAAATATCCTCTTCCACCGAGTAATCAAGAATTGGTTTAACACCAAATGAACGGAGTCTAGAAAATTGTCGAAAAGATTTAAAAAAAAAAAAAAACAAACATTATTAAAAACATAATTGTTTACCTTTTATAAAATATTTAAAAGAAATGTTAAATGAGGATTAATCAAAAAAATTAAAAAGTAAATAAAAATCCATTTGAGTTATATACTGAATATTCAACAAAAGTAACTGATGATTGTATGACAAATTTTGAAATGATTCAAGGGCCAATTTCTGACGAATTTATTATATTTAGATAAGATGATTGGAAAAATAATGAAATGTTAAGATATTTAGCAAAAACATGAACTTTGGAAAAAAAAAAATATATATATATATAGACAGATAGAGAGAGAGAGAAAGAGGGAGAAAGACAAAAAAGAGATAAAGCGGGCGGGAGAAGAGTACAACAATGCTCCAGTTTTTCGTTCTAAATATATATAACATCTTCGTATATATTCGCCGGCGCTTGTTAAGCATCGAAAACCTCTGCGATGAAAATGTCCGAGGTCTTGCAAAGCCCTTTGTCTTCAATTACATCATTGCAATGACTTTATTATCTCTCTTAAGTGTGAAAAAATCATTTTGTAAATTTTTGCCAATGGAATAAAATATTTCTGCAGTTATTTAATTATGTATGTATGTATGCACGTATACATAAGTTTATAGGTTAGATGGTATGATTTCCACTTGCGGAGATCTGGAAAGCCTAGTTCTCAAGTACGTATGATCAACCCAAACAGAAGAAAAAGAAGAAGAAGAATTAAGATGAAACTTCCGCTTCAATTAGAAAGAAATTGACTTGTCCGTGTTTTCGTTCCGCGTTCCTTTTGTGCTGTTGTTGCCGTTCCTTTAACAAACCCTGTCGAACCGCTGCTTTAACTTCTTCCACTGTTCCTGTTTCACGTTGCGGACATAGAGCTACTCCTTAAGTAGCAGCTCGATGGATAACATGCTCGCCAAGGCTGCTGCAGCTGACGTTGAAGCCTTTCGTTAGGCTGATATAATTCTCAGCGTACAAAGTCTTTGAACTGTTTCTAACCTTCGTATCCGATATATACTTTCGCAATTATTTCTCTGTGCGTAGGCTATGCTGCGTATGAGTTTTCGCCTGTCCTGCTTAGGCCCGCTGATGTTTGAGATCATTTTGCCTAAGGCAACGCTTTATCCGGAAGCTTCTCTATATGTTCCACAAATGCTAACTTAATATCTAACTCTACTCCGAGCTGTCTGAAATTAATACTAAATTCAACAGGATACCTATCGGGTTCTATATCCGGCAGTCAGGATGCTCTTCGGTTCGCCACCCGTATCGCTTCACTTTTTTCTGCGGCCAGTTTTAGCTTGTGCTTGTACAGTCACGTATTTATCCGACTTAAGCTATCATTTGCAACGAGGTCATAACCTAACAAATTCGCGCTTCTCGGAAGTTCCATATTAAGCGGCCCGTCATGTATGAGATTCCATAGGATGGGGACACGGGATAGCTCCTTATAGCACCCCTTGCGGTAAACCTGTATTCTCCGTTGTGCCATTGTCTGCATTATAATGCAGAGTTATATCTTGCAAATTTTTATAGACTATCTTAACTAGATAAGGGGCGGATTCTCGTGTAATTAAATTTTCTAGAATATGCAATACATATGTATGTATGCATATACATACGTACGTGTGTATGTTTAGACATACACACGCGTACGCGTTTGCCTACGTGTATTATGGGTGTCTGAGGAATTTTTCGCTATGAACAAAATATTTTACAAAAAATTCAAATCCTTTGTTTAATCGATGATATACATGATTTCTGATTATCACTTACATTTCTTTTTATTTTGGTCGTCGGGTTTTTCGAAAATAATTAATTTTCTACACAGAAAAATTCGAATGAAAACTTACTATCTTTCATAATGAAAGTGCTTATTACCTTATTGCATTAAAATAATGCATGCATTTAAAACTTGTCGACAAAACTTATCGAAAAATTTCAAAAAGAAAGGCCAAGCATGTAAATACAGTGTGTTATCCAACTAATAAGTTACAAAATATACGATATACGATAACCTATCCAGGGACGAATCTTTATCAATTTATAGTGAATAGAAAGGGAACCGTATCATTATTTTTCCGTATTTTTATTTATGAATATAATGTTGGTTCACGTCTTTGCTAAAATGTCTTATGAATCCAATAATGCACTGTGCGTATATATTATATTATATATTGAATGTTTTTATAGAGCTCGAAACAATTATTACAATGATTTTGATGGAAAATTGCAATAAAAGATTATTTAAATGACACCTGAACGAAAATACGGTGAAAAGTAAATTATTTTACAATAATAAAAGATGACAATAAATTTTGATTTGAGCTACAAAATCAATTTATGGCCTAAACGTTTAATTTGTAAGTGGGTATGTTGCCAATAGTTTTTGTTAGAAGGTTGGAGAAAACGAATTTATTTCTTTGCAAATTTTGTTTAACACTCTTTTATTTTTTATTGGTTTTTTTTTTTTTTTTTTTTTTTTGAAATGAGAGTGAGGATAAATGGGAGCGGATGTGAAGAACATGCCATTGGGTCATGCAAACGTTTATTATCACACATTCCAACTGAATTTTCTGGGTTAATTCAGTTCGAAACGTAGTAAGCAAATAAAAAAAAAAAAAAAAACAGAAATTTGAAAATAAATGAAACCTCTCAAGCGTTGGTATAATCTTCCAACGATCCTCGCCGGCAACAAAATGACCATAAAATGTGGATTTCATTAACATTTCGAACAGTTTATCACCCAAAACAGCTTTAGCAATTTTCAACAGCTTTTGTTGCATTTCGTGTTTGTTTGTTTTCATTTTTTATTTTATCGAAATTGATTTTAGATTATTTTTATTTATTAGGTAGGAGAGTAGAGCAAAAGATAGAGGACGTGTTTAAGGTAAGAAAGCAACCCCACGATTTGTAAACGCATGTAAAAACGATATATTTGCAGCGTTGTGCAGGTATCAATCAATCAATCAATCAATCAATCGAATATTTATTTGGTGCAGGATGTATGTGATGAGTATTTATATTTAAATAATTTGTTTTTTTTGTTGTTTTGTTTTACAGAAGCCATCATCATCATTATCATATAAATTAAGAAGAAAATAAAAGAACAGAAAAGAAAAGGGAAAAAATACAAAAATAAAAAAAAAAAGAAGAAAAAAACGGCATTAATAATTTGTTTAAATCGTTTAATTACCTTTCAAGGGTCGGTATGATTTTGATTTGATCCTCCCCGGCCACAAAGTGTCCATAGAATGTTGCCTTCATGAGGACTGTAAACAATTTATTTCCCAATACACGATTTGCCAATTTCATGAGCTGTCAATTTTTATGTTTTTTTTTTTTTTTTTTTTTTTTTTTTAAAGGTTTTATTTTTTTTTGTGGTTTTATTTTTTATTTTCATTTTTTTTTTTTTTTTTTAAATTTAAGCAAAAAGTAAATACGAAAAATTTTGAAATCGTTTCTCTAAATAAATTTTACTTATTATTAATTTTTTTTTTTTTTTCTCTTTGCAAAAAGCAAATCATACTTTTGTTAAACAACAATTCAATAAGTATCTATACAACAATAAATTATGAATTATTTAAATAAAAACTAAAATATTTCCATCAGAATTTTTCGCAAATATTTAACGAAATCGAATGTCTTTGAATATATAACATAAGCTTATACAACAATGCGATTGTTTGTTGCAGATATGCCAGTTAGCGAGCCAGCCAGCCAGCAATATATAATATACGTATATAAAGTGACTATGAATTTGTAGCGTGTGTTTGTGCGTGCGTAAATTAAATTAAATCTTCATAATTATATAAATTAGAAATAAACATTTATGAAAAAAGAATTAACAACAAGTAATTTGTCAAAGCAATTTGATTTCATATTATTATCATACGCTACAACACTACAACGGTATAAGGGTGCATTGAATTTGGCAGGATGTAAGCAGCACCCAGAAGAACCTGATATAGATCCATTTTTCATTATACTTGTATGCCAGTCTGCCTGTCTGTCCGTCTTGTCTTCGTGTGTTGAATCCAAAGGTCGGGGGGATGGGATATTTTGGTAAAATTTGGTATACACACTTTATCGATCGTTTTCCATATGAAACCTTATTTTGAAAAGTGGTTAAACGAAGCAGTGTAGGGCGTTTAATGGTGGACTGTATCCCATTCTAGTAATTTTACTTGTTCCGCGAAAGGCATAAAAAGAAAAGAAAAGAAGTTTACTTCACGTTTCTTCATCACAATGCATGTGATATTGTTCTCATCTTTCTTTCGTTGTTTGTTTCCTTCTCTATGCAAAAAATACGAAGTCCTCACAAAAATTGAGCGCTATCGTATGGAAACATTTTTTTACTTGACGTTTCTTTATTACAATGAATGTGGTACTATTCTCCTCTTTCTTTCGTTTTTTTTTTTTTTTTTTTCTTTCTCATACGAAGTCCTCACAAAAGGAAAGCGTTTTCATATGGAAAAATAAGAATTTTGTTGCTATGTTCTTGTTGTGTATTGAAGTAGTAGTGAATTAAAATCCATGATAACCAAATTGTAGGAAGAGCTTTAAGGTAAAACCATCTTTGATTATAACGATCGTTTCAAAATCATTTTCTAAATTAATCAAAGCATGTCTGTTGGTCTGTTGTTTGTCTTGTAGTTTGCGGGCTTTTGGTATAGCACCATTTTTACGACCACCTTATCCTTCGTTACATTAATAAAAAATTTATAATTTTCCAAATTTCTCTCGCAAAACTCGCAGAGTAATAATATTTCGATATTAAATATTGTTGTTAAAAATTTGAATTGCGAAAGGGATTTGGAATGGAATGTTTTAAGCGACTTCGTTTATAATAGTTCATATGAAAGTTGAATTTTTATATGGCAAAACGATCTAATTTTTAAGACTTCGCAATAAGAATTGGACCACAATAATAATTTGGCATAGAAATGATTCGTACCATATTTCGACTACGTAGATGGGTTTTGCTGATCTCAAGAATAAAAATAAAAAATGCTCATGAAAAATGAGCCTTTCCGTGATAATAAAAGCTCAATTTTAGTATTTTATGCAAAATAATGATCCATTTTTATGGAATATTATTATTACGAATATAAATAAAATATAGTATTGGGTGAAATGGTTTAGGTTATCTGAGGGTCGGCCTTCACTGATTATAATTTTTTTACATCGTTTACCCGCTAATCACGTATAAAAAATCTGATTTTCACGTTTGGAGTCCCCTGCGAAAGCTAATGTTCAGCTAAATGAATTCCACCCCATTTTTCGGAGAAAATACTTTTGAAGAACGTGTTAAAACGCCTATTGAAATAAAAGTGTAAACATTTTCGATTTTCTTCCTTCCGATTATTCCACTTGTGCTCGATTTGTGGTTAAACCTGTCTCTCTCTCGGCTTAGGAAGAAATTGAAAATTATTTTAAGGATACTCCAAACTAATACACGAAAAAGAAAACTAAAAAAATCTATAATAAAAAACGTTATATAAATATTTGGCTTTTATTATGAAATTTCCATGAAAAATTGTCCCAATCAGTCAGTCAGTAAGTCAGTCAGCCTCTCTCTCTTGCACTCTCTCTCTCTCTCTCTCTCTCTTACTCACTCAATTACTCTCTCACTCACTCACTCACTTGCTCACTTCCTCTTTGTCTTTCCCTTTCCCTTTCTGCTAAATCGCTATCTAGAATATCTCGCCAGTTAATACACCGGTTATTATGATTATTTTCTATATGTTGGTTTAAAATAAAAGCCACAAATCAGCATAAATCGAATATAACTCTTTTATGTTATCGCAATTAGCTCTAATAAGTATATATATATATTTCAGGTATCTCTCTCTCTCTCTCTCTCTCTCTCTCTCCACTGGCTAACGAATGTGAACACGAGTAAACATATATGCATTCAGTTATACAACAAATCTAAATAACTGAAATTATAATGATTTCATTGTTTAATTTTCGATTTTCATGTTCTTCGTTAGTTCTTTTGTCAAACAACTTTTTTGATGCTGACAGAGTTCATATTTAACTCAATATAACATTGAACGCATCAAATTTGTGTCAAGTTACGGATCTAAATTACTAATGTACTTGTATTTCCATTGAAAAATGGGTTTAACAAAAATGAGCGAGCAATAGAAATTTGAGTGAGACGTTTTGAAATTTAAAACAAAAGGGCGAAAACAAAAGATGCTTCATTGTAAAAAAAAAAGAGAAAAGTTTCTGCCGATTATGCATTATTTCATCTTCCTATGAATTGCGCATATATTCTCGCATCACACTGACCCGCTTACCGTGAGCAATCGATGTTTATTTACTTAAAAAAATAGTATTTATAAAATATTTATTATTTACAAAATGTGCCTCAAATCGATTGAAATCAATGCGAATCATCTCAAAAAAAGTTACACTTCGCTTTGGGCGAATGCCATGCACAGCATAGCAATCTTAATCAATCTGACATATATTGCTGGTTTTTTAAGTGGCTTTACGAAACATTAGTGCCAGGTTTCATGTCTACATCTTTCTTCCTCTTTTTCTCTCTCTCTCTCTCTCTCTCTCTCTCCTTTTTTCTTTCTTACTCTTACATTGTGTATGCGAAGGTGTTTTTAACCGGATCACAAATCTCGTTGACATATTTTAAATGGTTCCCGCAAATGTTTCTGCTAATTTTTGAAGCAATATCAGCTATTGTTTGCTTTCTTGCATCTCCTTTTTTCTGGCTATTAAACGTGTCCCTTGTTCAGAGTTAATTCGTAACAGTCATATAAGAATGTTTATGCAAAGTTTTAGTTTCCCGTCCTAAATTTTACGTTGCAATGAACGTTTTAGGGCGTAATAGAATAATAGACGGGTGGTGGCAATCAAATCGGTCCAGAACTTTGAATTGATCAATACCCGTGTTTTGAGCAACGTGCTAGAGATTATAGCAAATTAGAAGAAACTTTTTTTTCTTCTGTGATTTGCAGGACTTAACAATCGGACTTGGCAGCATTTTCTGATGACTACCTTTTGAAATACTAAAAACGAGACACACACACACACACACACGCGATAAAAATGCACACACACACACACACACATAAAAACTCAAAAACACAAATAAGAACTGCTTAAACAAGGATAAACATTGTCTTACCGTACCATACCTATGAAAAAAGGGTATATTAAGTTAGTGCGAGTATATGCAACACCCAGAAGGATTTAAGCGCGAGCCAACCTTTATTGTACCGATCGAATGAGGAAACGGCTTAAGCTTGCCTGCCCGTCCATGCATCTTGTTTTGTCGTGTTGAACCTACAGGCCGCAATTTTTGATATATTTTGATGAAATTTAGTCCAAGTACGAACACTACTAAAAATGCGTCGCAATGAACCACTTTTGCAAACACTTCTCCTACAACGTCTCATTTTGAAAAGTCATTGCATGAGTGTCGCGACAGTGGTGTAGGGCACTTAATGGTGAACTGTGGCCCACTTATAACGTTTCTTATTTATTTTTTTTTTTTATAATCGATTACACTGCCAAGAGCCACACGTCAGCCGATCGATCATTTTCGAAATTTTTAATGAAAATATTTTGAAATTTTCGACCTTTTCCGTTGTTGTCATTTCTTTTCTCTTTTTACTATGGGCGTTAGCGAAGGTTGAAGAAAATCAAGCACTTTACTGAATATAGCCAAAACGTACCGAGTTTTTGCCTCAGCTAAAGATCTTTAAAGGTCCATAAGTCAAAAAGATTCATGTTTTCAGTTTCACGAAGACACACACAAATACACACACCCAGAAACAGACTCACAAGTCTCCATCCCTAATAAATAAATTATCTGAAGTTTTAATTATAAAAAAAATTAATGAAGGACTAGCCGTCGTTTCTTGCAGTCTTTGAAAAAATTGATTTAAAGATTAATTTTTACATTCTATGCATAGAGCCTTCGAAATCTATATATTATTGTTGCAATTACTATTATAGGCAGGCAAAGAGTTTGACATACTTAAACCGGTAAACTATGTGTGAGGTGATTGGGAATATCTCGTCTAGTTTTTATGCGCTATTTGTTGGTGCATTTTTTTTAATGTCTTTCAAGCGTTTGGCACACTTAATGGGCACTTCTATGGTGGCCGTTAAAACACAAAAAAAAAAAAAATATTTTTTTTTTGTCTTTCACTCATGACAACTGCTAGTTTGTAAAGACCGTGAATATGTATGTAGACATATTTTTTTGTCATTACCTTGTCGTCATTGTCATTGAATTGTACTTGAATAGTATTCAATAAAATTTGAAAACAATTTGAAACTGTGGG